TCTTTCTTTTATCTGGTGCAAGAACTATAATATGAAACTTGTCATTTATTCAGTAATCATGGACAAGATCAACCCATTTCACTTGTGGTTTTGTAAACGCGTTCTCCTTTTCTGCTTTTAAAATAATTTTTCCTGATATTTTTTTATGTATTAATAACCACTCTTAAGAACGTGTCGTTTTCATTTTTTTTTCTTAGCCATTTCTGTAGTTTAATGTCAAACTTTATTTCCTCCTCGTTCTCTACAAAAAGTTTCATGTGCAATCATACAAAAATAAGAAAAAAAAAACTTTATGGTCGTGTTAATGTTTTTAATAAGACCCTGCCAGTTCAACATGTACTTTTTTTTATCTTCCACCATTTCAAAAGAGATTATTGATGTCGCAGTACTTTGCAATCATTAATAAGTCTACGGGAATAGCATGCTACCTACGGAATAACATGTTACGAACAGCAAATGCTCTTAAACTGTTTTAAAGAAATTCGTGATAAGTTGCATAATTATAATTGACAAGATCAAATACGACGTGTTGTTAAAAAAAATAAGAAGCTCGATATACAACAAACTCTAACTAATTTGTTTTTTTTTATTTAAAAGCTATTCGTATTGATTGTTTTGCCGATAAATGTCAGTAGTACACACTTCCTGATGTGTTATTAGGTCAGGCATTTAAACTAGAAACTTCAACAAGGTAGGCATCGTTTGATCATTCTGTAAAGTATTCTTTAATGCTAAATATAAGTACCAAAATAGAGATTAAAAAAGACTGAATATGTCAACAAGAATTATTTACAAAAGTGTCATTTATTTATCTTTTATTTTCGCACTTCATTCAGAATGTTAATATAACATTGATTGAGAGGTCATATTTTACATATGATCACAAACTATTTAAAGGTGAAATATGTTTAATGATATGTAAATAATAGTAATTATCAATTTCTCAACGTTTGCTAAGTAATTTTTTGAAATAAGACGAATACAATTTTCCCTAAACTTAGATATCTTAATGTGTCATATAAATCCAAATCGTGCTATAATAAGGTTTGAAAATAATACTCACCTGAATATTGTGCCAAAAATAGACTTGATAAAAAAAACTAAAGACAAGTATACTTAGAAAATGACCTTCCTGGTATTTTAATCTATTTCTAATACGCCTTATTATTGTAATTTCCCTACAACAGTGAGACTTTTTGGTTATTTTCTTTTTGTTAGTTATACGATTAGATAAAAACGTTTAAGATTGTTTTTGTTACAGGTTATTTGATTGCTGTCTTATTGGCGTTGGCCCATCGGCTCTTTCGATTAATATTGATTTCTATGAAATATAATCATTCGTGGCAATTGAAAACCCTATATGTTACCAGTTGTCTTCCTGTAACATTTAGATATTTCTAAGTGCTGCATTAACATTTCTCGTGTGAGTTTATGTTTGTTTTTTAATCCAATCTTAAGAGGTATCAAAGCAAGAAAAGAAAGACACAACCAAAAGGCCAAGTAAAGTTTATAGTCTAGTAGGTAAAATCATTCTTACTTATAAAACTGGTCTGTAATTAGCAACAATGCCTCAATTTACCTTAAAATTAAGTTTTTAATGATTAAGACAAACTTAGTAGTCACGTTTTTTTTAAGATGCTGATAATTGCTTCCAGTCAAATTAAATAAATTATTTAGTTGACGCACATATGAATAAAATATTTTTGTTTATCTTACAATAATTTAAATTTACAATACATAAATGTTTCATAAGAATCTGTTCTTTGAAAGACTGGCAACAATCGCGAAGCATTGATTCCAAAATTATATAATATCTCTCAATAAAAGGCAAAATTTATAATTGCACTTGTTTCTCAAGGCAACATCACAACAATGAATAGGGGAAAAAGCTAGATATAACTCGTACTTTCATGGCTGAAGTATAAAAAAAGTATTAAAAGAATCGATTTTTTTGTAATTTTCTTTGTTTTTTTGTGCGCAGGATAAACGCTTTTACAACCTAAAAAAAGATCATACAATTACAAAAAGAAGCATTCAATTCCTAAGTGTTTCGTTAATTAGTTGATACAGTTTTATAGTCCTAACACCGCACTTAAGCAATGGTTTTTACGGTCAGACCAGGAGATGTCCGGGGATGACATTATTTCTAAACCCAATTTAATCCTTGGGGGCTAGGAGTGGTGTGTAACCTGGAAGTTAAGCATCTTATGAGTATGGCAATAATTTGATTTATTGTTTTCCAAATTAACTCAACTTGTCGAAAAGGAAGACTCGGTTATAGAATAACTAATAATACTGGATTTCTCTTATTTGAAAGGTTTTGTGAAATGACACAAACTTTAACAAGACATGCAAAAAATACCCGTGACAGCTATAGAAATTAGAAAGATGCTAAAAAATATTAAGTCAACAGCTAACTTTTGGTCTTTCCAGGAAATAAAATTACTTTTATATATAGTATACAAATTATTTTTTTTTATTAATTTTCGACGTTGACGACTATTTTATAGAAAAGCAGAGATATTAGAACTTTTCAAAAGGTTTTTGTACATATGTTTTGACCTTTTTAACTGTTAAGTTTGTTGATAATAGTATACTCTCCGCTGTTTGTGGTATTTCGAGTACAAATTGTTGATCAGTATTCGTATTGCAATGTTAAAGCATAACAAATGTTCTGAAGTAGAATTAGCTATTATTACAGGCGGTGAATTATTTATTTTCATTTGGGGGGGAGGGGTGATCATCATACATCATATTTCCTTTTTATTATTCTCTTTTTTTTAAGTATGATTTTTCTTCAAACGAATATAATATTACTATTTTTTCTACCACTTAATCATATGAAGCTTTTAAACTGTAATTGAAAACTTTTAGTCGCATTAAAAAGAAATTTTCCTCTTTACTAAGAGGTCTTTCAAAAAACCTGGTCGTAGATATATCTGATGAAATCGTTACAATTCCTCTTTCTGTATTTTAAAAACATGTGAAACTGAAATATCTAAATCTAGGAAAAGAAGTTGTTGCTTAAGATTTAAGATTTATATAAAATTTGTTGAAAGTTAGTTCTAATGGGTAAATTTCGGCAGTACAATGTATATTAAGAGAATTCTTTATCATTTAACGCAGACATCAAGATAACGTTAAGTGTTGTTGAATTTATCAATTAACTGGAATGAAGACGGATCATTTCTGAGTTTGGCCATACGCTGTGATACATAAAAATACAGGAACATGTTTGTTATCAAAGAGGTACAACTTGTGTCCATAGGAATTCCTACAACCTGTCGATAAACTGTATTACCGAAACATACATAGATGTTGTCAAAGACAAAATCACGCTCTACCTATTTTCTTTTTAATTAAAGACGTATGTTTGATATGAGTTGTAGTAGAGAAATTTGAAATTAGATTTTCAAAGGACCATTTAATTAAATATGAAAGCTTTCGTTTGACAAGATTGTGCGGCATTGTAGTGCAGAGAGTCGATAGGTCATAACCGTATAAAAATAAGAATATTTGACCTATGATTGCCAATGAATGAAACAACGATCCGCTAGAGACCAACATGACGTTGATTTTAGCAACCATGGGTCACAGTTCTGCCTTCAACAATGAGCAAAACCCATACAGAAAACATAGAGACAAAGACTAAAATGACGTAGATTTTAGTTACCATTGGTCAGAGTTCGGCTTTCCATAATGAGCAAAATCCATATCGAAAAGCAAGCTATATATATAGCTTGACATTGCATAACACCAATCTTTTGTTAAAGACTACGTTGAACTCTAGATCATCTAGTAAATGTCTTTTCGTGTTGTTGGATTGCTATCACATTGATGTAAAGCCCACATCGCCGTCTTTTATTAAAATATTAAAGATATATTGAAGAGTTGCTAATAAGACACTAATGCAAGAGACGTTAGGAACAGCCTAAGGTACCAAATCAGTCTGTATTAACTTTCCAATTTCTTTTACCTAGATATCTCAGGAAATATGAATAAGATTGTTTTAACGGTGTATTATTGTTTCATAATAGATGATGCATTCACCGTACATCGATCAGCATTCCGGGCGATTTATCGAATAAATTAGCTAATAAAGTTGATGATTTTAGCTCAAATAATATACAGTTTTTATAATAATAATAGGAGTAGGAATAGATATAATGGCTTCCTGTCATTGGTAAGTTCTTGTCATACCATTTATGATAGAAGTGACTTTGAGTGCGACTCCAGTTTAGTGTAATGTATGGTACAATGCGTACAATTATATCATAGTGAGTGTCAATAGAAACGAGTCACCTCTGACAATTTTCAGAGCTTTCCGATATTGGGATGCTAACCACCACAAAGTCCTAAAATATCCAAGTATTGAAATTTGCACCAACCTATCCAACCGCCCTTCTCACATAGGTTATTAGAAAAGTGATATAGTTCAACAAAAACCATTTGAATTGAATCTGAGAGTTTTGTCTTGACCATTTTAAGACACGAAAACTTTCGGAACACAAAACGTCAATACGGGACCAAAGTGAAACTATGGAGTAAGTAAAAGTTACATGAGCAACACGACCAGTGCCACATGCGGAACAGGATCTGCTTACCCTTCCGTAGCACCTGATCATCCCCCGTTTGTGGTGAGGTTCGTGTCGCTCAGTTTTTAGTTTTCTATGTTTTTTTTTGTACTGTTGTTTGTCTTTTGGTTTTTTTTTTTCTTTTGCCATGGCGTTGTCAGTTTATTTTCTACTTATGAGTTTGAATATCCCTTTGGTATCTTTCTCCTATCATTTTCACCGAATGTGTGCGAAATGCCTAAACTAACTATTTTGTGTTTTCATTAAAGAAAGACCCAAAGCGGCTTGAAATTTAATCAGTTACGTTTCTATTTAAACGAATAATCCATATCATATTTTGGATACAAACTATAAAAGAGTTATAAGGTGATTTTTTCGTATAAATTGAAAAGGCAAACATGATTTAAATAATTTATTCTGTTTTAGGTTAAATGATCTAGAATAGAAGCAGGAAGTAAAGGACATATGTATAGAATTTTTGAATTAGTCATATTGTGTATTTAAGGTAGGTTTTTGTCAATTTCTTTATTTTGAATGATATACACGACTTTATTTAGACATTTTCAATCCGTTAAAAAGAAACAAGGGTATCTTTTCAGGCGGAATTACTTATTTATAATGTACATAGTGATTTTTTTGTTATTTAGAAATTTGAAATACGAATGTTGTATTTGTTCCTTCTTAGTATTTTTTTACATCTGAATATTCAATCATTTTAATAAAGAGTGATTGATAGTGCCTATTCAAACAGATTCACCAATAGGGAATATCGAAGTGTTCGAAGGAGTAAAAACTTGTTCCTGAATGTGCCAATAATTCAGTAAAATACATGTACATGTAACTCAATTAATTTTTGAGTAAGGTCTTTTGAAATTTATATTATCATAATTGATATCTGCATACTGTGATATTTTTTAATGGGGATGGGAGTTGTACTTCTTGTCACGCATGTACATGCGTATGACCATTCTAGAACTCTGCCAATAGCTACAATTGTTTGATTTTTAAAATTGTTTCTTTTACTTTAAAAATTATACACACTTTGAAGACAAGATATGTGTATGCATTCTGTTTCTTGTATGAAATGTATTGGATATTATCATAATTATAAAAATTATATATCGATATGAATTTGTAAAGTGCACCAATGAAAGTACGACGTCGTAAAAAAGACTTTACAACGTCATATGCAATATATAAGAAATTTGATATAACATGAGATGAAATAGAAGTACATGTGGCTATTTTAGGAGTTTATTAAACTTGTCTACCTTACTTTCCCACGTGTTCATTTATTTGCTAATTACTACTTTTCTTTAATACATAAAAATGTACCAGCATTATTTATTTTCGGAAGGAGGAACATCCACCGATATATTGAACAATTGATGGGATTAACAAAGATGATTGGCCGCCGATCAATTTAGTCTTGTCACAAGAGTAATTCCTGTCATGATTTGACATATTCGTTAACATTTGACATTTTAGGTATTTATTGTTTTTTTCTTTTCCTCAATTCCAATGTTTCTCTTTTATTATATGTATTTAAACGACACACCATGCTAATGTGATGCACATTTTTTTCAGTTTTCTTCCTTTATTCAAAAACAATTGTTACCGAGAGATGGTCGCCTGCAAACGCCGGCATGAGGATATTTTGACTGTAAATGGTGATCATTATGAAAAATGTGTGAAAATGATGACTTGATAGAAGCATGTAAGAGTGGATATTGTGATAAAGTTGTCAATTTGCTACAAAGAAATTTTACAGTTCACGTTCGGGATTCAAAACAAGCTACTCCGCTATATTATAGTTGTTGTCATGGTTATTATGATATCAGCCGTGTTTTAATTCAGTTTGGAAGTGAAATTAACGCGCGTGTTCAGTGGGGTTCAACAGCCCTCCATGCAGCTGCTGACCGAGGACACATTGATTGTGTAAAACTACTCATTCACAGGTAATTAAAGTACGTTAAGGCGAACGATCTTTGGGATCGCTGTTTTCTATTTTGAGATGTTTTTAGAAAATTATATAATTTTATTTGTGTATATTAGTGTTTTACGGAAATCAAAAGAAACTTGTTTTTACATTTTATGGAACATACTGTTCATAGGCAATATAAGATGTTAGTTTTATTCTATTTTTGTTTAACATCTAAACTCAAGACAAAATATTGAAAACTAAAGCTATAACAATACACGTGATGTTGTTATACCGAATTCTCCTTTTTGAATAGTAACGTATCCTGTGTGGTGTTACCTTTCACAATTACGTAGCTATGCAAACAATTTGATGTGTCAAATACTAGTATAGAAAAAGCAGTCAGAGAAATATTTAATACTGGTTTTTAAACTACTAGCTGAGTATGCAGATTGGGTGGGTGTCATCAGTGAAGGTTTTGTTTTCATTACCCCCTAATAGTTAGTTCGTTGACCATACAATAGTAAGTGTTGTGAATTTCTGGTCACGTAATCCTCTTATGTAATAGAAAAAACAAAGGATATGGGGTATACATCCAAGACACAAAATCAGTACATGCACAACAAAAATACGCACAAAAATCAAAGGAACAGAGCTTTTATTGCTGTTCTTTATCTTAAAGTCACAGTGAGGCCTTCAACACGGAGCAAAAAAAAAACCTCTCACTTCACTGCATTCTGATATCGGAGAAAAGATTATTGACTGATTACAAAGCAATACGTCCATCCAATGGCACTATCGCAGCTTTCCGAAAGGACGTTCGAATCATCCAGTTTATCTTTGGTTGTTTTCCAATACATTGGTGTCTGATATAAATTTCATCTCAACTTACACATCTTTTGTGGTTACTTTCATTTGTTTTATTAATAAGTTCTTTTTAGTTAAATTTAGTTTTTCAATTGAGTGTGGTTATGATCAAAGCTGCACACTAACGTTGGCTGCCACATGTTAGTTTATGTTCTTTTTTTTGTTTTTCACTTTGTGGAAACGCTAATCAGTAAAATGATGAACTTCATAGTTTTTGCTGATAGGAATAAAAGAATAAGACGTACAAAGAACTGATGTTAACGTTAGTAAGTTTTAAACCAAAACAAACCATGTGTATCATAGTCATACAAGGGCATTCACCTTTAAAGTGCGGAAATTATATATAGGTCATAATGCAAAACACTTATCCATGTATAGTTAATTAGAGAATAGTACGAAAGTAATGCCTTTATTTTGATGATGCGATATTACAATTCCCATACGATGCTTAAAAATGGCATAGATTAGTAAGAATCTGAATATGATGTAAGTAAAAAGATTAAAAGTCAAAAGTTAAAGTCTTATTAGATATGGTCTCTTCTGTACATATTTACATTCATTGTTAGTACAAACATACTTGAATAGTGTTGGACATTAACGAAGAGCCACATCCTGGTGTAAACATGATAAAGTAAATGAATATTTGATCTACAAAATACCTTGTAAATATTTAATTTTCAAATATAATTAACCAGTTGTACGTAAAAGTATTGTACACGTCGGGTGGTTAGCTCATATTCAAGACATGACAAAAATAAAATAAGCATCATTTCGTATTCATTAACTTCCCTTACAAACAACGAACAATGGTGCCAGGTGCACAAATGTTTCAATAAAGGAAAATTTAACCCATAAATTTAACACCCAGCTCAAAACATTTCAACCGTATTCAGGACTAGAACATGAAAGTAAAATATAAAGATGAATCATGCTTTGTGCTACTAATACCCTCTATGGTGTACAGAAACAAGTAAACCTTTCGTACACATACATAATATTCCGAGTCAACTATCAATTATTTTTACTTCTGAATGCCTCTACGTAGCACAGATATAACACTGAAAACAAAAAGTTAAAGTTTTTTATTTGACTTTGTGCCTGATCAAACCAACCTCCGCCTATCACCAAACTGAAAATGCTATCACAAAATCACGTCGGTTCCAGATCAAATTCAAGGTTATTATAATGATAAAAAATTAAAATAGTTTTTTGGTTTTGCTTTATGTTCATTGGCAAATGTGTCATGTTTATTGACGACCAAAACAAATCAAGCAAAACCTCATTTTGGTAGGTTCCTCAGAGTCGGTCAGAATACCGAGCGGAAAATTTGGACTGTTGTGGTTTAAAAAGATCATTTAGAATAGACTCAAATCGTAAATCTTGATTTTCCTTTCACATTTCCATTTTGTACTAAGCAAGGGATATGGTGTATTAATTGATAACACAATAAATCTACACACACTCAACATAACCAGAGCAAAAGAAAGTAGTTTTATTCTTTTTTTTTGTCAAGATATAACTACTAAAATATTGATAGATTAAAACGAGACAATTATATGCAATCAAGCAACCGAAAATCGCCATATGGACACAGAGCACATATTTTAGGAAAAATATCTATATTTTAGTGGTGCTGATTTATCAATACAGAACAACAGAGGGGACACAGCTGTTCATTTATGTGCGTACAGAGGATACATAGAAATTGTTAAAGTATTTATTCAACACAATACTAACTTGTTTATAAAGAACAACAATGAGAAAACACCATCTGACGAAGCTGAAGGCAATAACCATCACAACACTGCCGAAATTCTTCGACAAAATATGATTGGTAAGTTAATGAAAGTACTGAGATAGGACAATGTATGATTGGTTAATATACAACTCTATAGACATATGTATATGACAAATAATGCAATAGAGCAGAATAAATTGAGCCCTTTGGGACTTTTATTGACAAAATGTAATGGAACCTATAACTGGTAATCTTTCTCCAAGAACAATATTAACAACAGTCAAGACAACGTTGTGCAAGTTCGTTCATCTGCACTTTGTATCCGGAGCTCGCATTTCCTAAACATGTGACCAGATTTCATTGAAATTTTATAGAATCTTTCATATCTACTGCTATTGCTCACTTCTGATACTTGTTTAAAAATTGCTTTACCATGTCTTCAAAAGGAAATGGCGTCCTGTATTCGCAACTCCTCATAAACAACCAATTGGGTGTCTGTCAATGAAACTTTTAAAGAAACTGTCTTTCACAGAAACATTGTGCACCTCCTTTTTCATACGAATGTGTTTTGGTTTATAAATACATTGCTCTTCACCAATACGGACTAAATTTGTGACATATTAACCAAATTTCAGGTGTGACATGCAAAAATTTCATATCCTTAAAGGTGTTTTACCCATAGATATTTCCCTAGATAGAATTTTCTTATACTTTGCCAAAATGAAGATTTCACCATGCTTTTTATGAAAATATAATATAAAATTATGTACTGCTTTTTTCAACCAAAGATTAAATATTTCACAACACACACAATTCAAAGACCTCAAATTTAGATCATTTAGCTATACACTATTGTTAGTTTGCATGACCTGATATGATTTATATATGTAAGACTCTAAAGTGCGATGGTACTCTAAATTGCGATGGTCTACGCTAAAGTGCGATGGTGTCTCACGCTAAAGTGCGATGGTTGTTTGTTTGCTAAAGTACGTTGGTATATCGAGCTAAAGTGCGATGGACCAATAGGGTAAGGTTCGAGGGCTTTAAAAACGTTTAAGAACATAAGATGTAAAAATAGTCCTTTTGCAAAATCTAGTATTCAGAGGTATACCATATGTGATAGGCATTATAATCTACTGGTAGGCTGAAGTGATTGTTTCTAAATTTAGAAGACCGACCACGTAATAATTGCTAAACAGGTAATTTAGGTGTCACAAAATACTATATTTCTTGTAAGTGAATTTTTAACAATTCGGGCGTATTAAATATTGTGATAATTGGCGTAGCTTGCCATTCACACAGTCTATCACTAATGGGAACACCTCCCCTTACAGTCATCATTGTAAATTACAAATACAAAATTCGATTATTGTCGGAATATGTAACATTTATTTGTTTAAGCTTTAATCTAAATGAGAGAAAAAGGCAATATTCGCCGAGTTTTCTCCTTTTTCGTAGCGACTACACATACATGCTATATTTTCCTATAATGTACAAACTAATATTTTAGCCGACAATTTATAATTTACGCATGCAAACATGTACCTTTATTTTACCGATGTTACTTTTTAAAGCGACAATATTTTAACGGGGACCGCAAAGTAAACTGCAACATAAACAATGATTTAAATGTATCCGTTCGCTTCCAATAAAAGCACGATACAGGATATTTATGCGAATACTATTTTGTATCTAAATAGTAAAATGGTCGACTGCAGGATACAAGTTCTTCTTCCAGCTACCGATAAAAAAACACATTTGCTTCAGACGTCAAAGCACAGTTAGGTTTAAATCAATTATTAATAAGTCATTGACATTTGGTTTAACAGTTGTTAATCAATGAAATATTAGTAATTTATCTTCCGGCGTGTTCATTTTTAGTTTGTATAAACGACTGTTAACGTCATAATCAAACTACGTTTCTCACGTCTATACTTTCGCGGACCATCGGACTTTAGCGTATGGAGGCATCGCACTTTAGCGTATACCATCGCACTTTAGCGTGACCATCGCACGTTAGCGTCCCCATCGCACTTTAGAGTCCTACATATATACTTGTTATCTTTTTTGTTTTGTTGGTACTGATCCTTTTGTTTTTGTTTATTTGTTTGTATGTTTGGGTGCACAATGAAGAGTATGTGTTAGCTTTTGTTGACTGTATAATTAACCAGTATAACTTGCAAACATATTCTAAATATTTCAGCAATTCAAACGAACTTTGGACATATAGGAAACCAACAAATTCGAGAGATACCTTTACAAGTCAATCGCTCATTGCCTTCCAATGTACATTCACCCGCGTCTATGTCGATCCCGCCTTCAACATCTCAAAAGAACGACAATTTTGTGAGATATAGTAGTGATTTAACAGGATTTACTCGACAGTCTGCACCAATAACACATACAGACCTGAAAGCGTATAACCGACCTAATAGTCATCCTTCAGCAAATCAGTATAGACCAGAAAACGATCAGAGGCGAAGCCAGAAGAGTTATACTGTTATTCAAAACGGTGGACAGAATGGACATTCATCACCCGAAAATTTTCGAAACGGCACGTTAAATATGATAGACAATAATAGAACACCGCTTCATGTTCAAGGACGTGTAGCTATGGAGAGTTTTGCAGAAACTCTACAAATACAATTAGTGAAAAAAATCGAGGAATGTGATTCAAAAGATAAAATAATTAAACAATTGACCGAGACAATTCAAACACAGAATAATAAACTAACAGCAATAAATCTCGCATTTGTGCGAGTAAAAGAAGAAAATGAGAAACTGATAAAAAGTAATGCAAGCGATATCATTGACTCTAGCTCACTCAATGAACGAATATTACAGTGTAAGCACCAGGGTATATTAGACGCATTACAGTTGCTTAAGCAGCGAAATCATAGTTTGAGTGGAGATGAACATAGTTTACAGTCTTTAAAAGAGGTTTTAAAGTCTAGAATGTTAACTCAAGCACCACCTACCTCACTGGATGTCCCTAATAAAGAATGGAGAGTGGGGAAAGATTATATTTTGTTAGGAGACAAACCTTTGAACTATTTCTCTGATGAAGATAGAGATGGGAGTTGCTCTCTAGTGTTTCTTATAAACCACAAAAAGAAAGAATACGTTCTGAAGGTAGGATATTTTTAGTGGACGATTTTCATAAGTAAAAATGTCTTAAAATAAAATATAGGGCTGCATGTATATATATCGACGAACACGTTCATTGACTACTAAACAAATGTCGATTTGTTAGTGGTCCGCATTCATCTTTTTGACGTACTTGAAATTGACAGTGATTGTAAATGTAATATAGTATTACTTGCCTGATGAAATGTTATGACCGACCAAGGGTACACTAAATAGAATTATAAATTTATTCGATTAAAGTTGCAGTAGAACGATTTTTTTCCACTATCCGACTTAAGTGTTCGTATGGTGACTTAAAACATGCATTTCTGGTACAATGATGCATACATACAATTGTGCATTGGCAGTACAATGTTTCTACAAATCTGTATATTTGTTTATATTTTGTCTTCAAATTTGAAATACATGCAACACAGAAGTCCAGAACTGAAAACGATTTGGACAATTTTGTACGGTTTTTGTGTGGATGTATTGATCAACATTGATATTCAAATTCTCGTTTAGTTCTACAAATGACTTTTCTTGTTGCGAGTTGACTTCGTTATTAGTTGAAGGTACATAGCTGTGATTAGCCTGATATATCAAAGCATTTGTAACATGTGATGTATTGACTGTTTGTTGGCTATCGACGCCACTTAATCGCATGTATATATAAAGGAACTTAATTGTTATGAGGTATCCAGTTGTATTTACTAAAATTGTTTAGTACAGAAATACTGACAATAATACATTCAGCGGTTTGTTTTCGATCCCTAATGTTATAAGAAACATAACTCTACTGCTAACCGTGTATTTAAAATAAACCACGTCCACCGACCTAATATTAAATATACATGATTCCCACGTGGTTAATTTAAACAAATGATAATCCTAGAAGTATATAGAGGGTAAGCTACTATTAGTTACACAGTGTGCTAGTGCCCTAATACGATATAGATGGGGTCAGTAAGTTCCATATGGGATAAGATCGATCAGTTAATTCCATATGCTGTGAGAGCTAAGCTCGAACCCTATATGAATTTACTGACCCCATCTATATCGTATTAGGTCGCTAGCACAGTAACGAATTTATCTTACCGACTATCTAAACATGTGGCATTTAGACTAGTAGCCTATCAAAGAGATCAAGTCTTCAATATAAAGTTTCTGCATTTATTTCAATCGTTCATCATCAATTTCTTCATCTGTTGTCCGGATGAAACGTTTCCGGTATTTCGTCAACGCCGTGTTGTTTTTATAAATGGACGTAACACCACTAATAACCGTGTATTAAAATATACACCGCCTACTAACCCCATATTAAATATACAGGGTCTCCACGCGGTCGCTTTTAGCCAATGATATTCCTAGAAATTTGTAGGAGGTAGGATCAGTATACTTACACAGTTACGCCTATTCTAATTGGGTAAGTGTCTTTAAAACCCTTTCGTTGTCTTGCTTTCAAAAAAATTATGACAATAAATAGTTTAACATAACAATATTTTAGAAGTAGTTGAGTATAGTGAAGAATTTATTTCTCTTTGACTTGAATGACAGACTGTTTGAATCCAAAATAATGATTGTGTTTGCCTATTTGTTTCCGTTTTTTATCGATTGCATCTTGATGTCAATAATTTTCCTATTGCTTTTATATCAAATCTTCTTTAAATTTTTGCACAATAGAGAAATAGTTTTGGATAAATAAACATTTTATTTTAAAAGTCACATAAACTTATTTGCCTGCAATGATGCAATATATTTAGTTATACTTGGATGAATGGTCAGTAATGAGATCACTTTTCCAAAGAGCAGACACTGATTTGTATTGATCTTCACAGTTGGTTTCCTTTTTAACGCTGTCATTTTCCCCTCTGGATGTAATGTGTGCTCCATTGATATGTTCTAATACTCCTATGTAAGTCTTCATCATTGAGCTGATAACGCGATACATACCAATCGAACCAGGAAGGAGACATAATTACTACATGTCTGTACCTTGCAGTTTTCTTAGTAATGAGAGATGGTTGTCAGAATTTAAATATAAGGGTTGTAAAATAGTTACTTCAGATTTGCACTTTTTACTCTATCTATTTTGTTTCAGAGTTCTTTTTATATCTATTCGTTTAAAATGGGGTGGGAGGGTATTTTCCCCTTCGTGTTTAGTTTAGTTTAGTTTGGTTTCATTTTTATATTTTTAAATGTGGTTTGAAAGGACACGGTAACAAAATGCAAATTTAGAGTAGTCGATATCTTCTTCTCTGTTCAAATTATTAGATATAATTTCAGTAATACCATTGCTTTGTCAAAGCGGGGTCATTGTTAATATTTCGAAAAAGCATTGCATACTCTAACTGTCATTATATATTGTTGGTTTATTCCTAATAGTTCAAAAAATTGTTGTCCCAAGAACATCTATTCAAAATTATGCTTACACATATAAACATATTATTTGTCTTTTGTTTTTCATCAATAAATGCATTATACCGTTGATCTTTTACAGTCCTTATATTTGGGGTTACCTGAATTTTTAGAATCGAACATAGTAAGCTGAAATAGTTATCATAGTGAAACTTCTACGACCTAAAAAGTCATTTGCGAAATAAATTTTATTTGATGATTTTATTTTCATAGATGAGCAAAACTCGTGCATAAAGTAGTCCTTTCATATTGTTGCATTGAATGGTGTATTTAAAGAGTATAATGTAGTTATACCTTTTTATCGTATTACTCGAGGAACAAATGGTTAAATAATGATTGATTGTTGCTTGCTTAACGTCCACTTGCAATTATCTCATTAATATTCAGGATGAGAACAAATGAACAATTATTTCAATGGGCATTCCAAGGTAGGTCGACCTGGAAAAACGGCGGAAAATTTGGACTGCCACTGGTAAACGAGGGTATGTTGCCAAACGGACGACCCATTTTAGCAAAGGGTTATACTGATAAAAGGGATAAGTTCAGGAATTACCATATATTACCCCAGTCGATCATTGTGCAACAAATGGTTTGATGCGTATTTACTCTTACCACGACAAACTGCAAAATAAAATAAAATAAATATATAAGACCTGTTTGACTACTCCATTTAGTCAATTGTAATCAGAAAGTACTGATTTACCTAGTTTTCCCAAAGGGTATTATTATCTTCTGTGAAGTAAACTGTAACAATAATATCATGGATTCATGTGACACAGAAAACAAAAGTTAGGACAAATTACAACTTAAGAAGTGATTGTCCTTTTCGGAATAATACTTGATATACTATTTTAATCTTATCACACAATTAACTTGATGTACATCCCTCGGAGAATACAAAGAATAATTTCTATTAGAGAAAAAGAAACGTAATATACAGTGAGATGAAATATAAGAAAGTATCTTTGATCGATAATAAAGTTTTATGTTTGAACTTCCTGCTTAGAACAAGGAAGTGTTGGTTTTCCTTATTAATGGACAAGGGTAAAGTGCTTATTATTCTCTTTCCCTTAACGAATCCAACATAGCTTATGCACTAATAAAAGTCACTTAATGTCAAGTATAATACAAAAGCAAAATGTATTCCCCGAATATAAGTCGTTTACGTTAAAATCTTTATATTCTACTTTACCTGGTAACAAAGTAAGGATATAACAAATAATTTTGGTGTTTCCTTGTGTTAAATTTGTTTGTATATTTTGTGTTATGAATAAACTCATCATAAATCCATTATGAAGCGATACTGAGAAAAATCGTTTTAAAAGTCAGAACTAACAGAGCAATTCTGGATAACTTGTTTTACTGGATTATGTTATTATTTTATCTTAGAAATTTTACCATGTAAAAAATCTTTAACTTGAGAAAATTTTACTTAAAAACTGTTATAACTTTATATGAATATCTTATTTAAATAAATTTAATTTGGACTTTTACGATTGCAAGCACTTCTATTCTTTCGTCAATTTTTGGTTAATTTATGCGTTAAGTCTATTTCATAGAAACCTTCGGTAAAATATTAAGGATGTTCAAAAAAATTTTGATCACTGTGAATGAAAACAACACATACTATTTTTTTTGGATTTACCTTTACATGCGAAACTCAAATTCAAATATTTGACCGCCTCGGTGGTCTCGTGGTTGCGTATTCGCCTCGAGTGCAGTAGTTCATGGGTTCATACCCTGACCGGGTCAAACCAAATACTTTAAAATTGGTATTTGCTGCTTCTCCGCGGCTTTAAGGAATAAAGTAAAGATTGGTCGGCTTGGAGTCGGAGTATTGAGTCCGGGTAGGGTGACATGTCTTCCGACGGGCTGTTACCTTGTGAACTAGCATGTTAAAAATCCGACTCAGGGTATCGGTCTGGTATAAAGCAGGGTTAATATTCGTATTACAAAATCATGTTCTCGTCTTGAATGTGCATTTAATTTGCAGTCAGTCATTCATCATCATCATCATCATCATCATCATCATCATCATCATCATCATCATCATCATAATATTCGTATTACAAAAACATGTTCTCGTCTTTAATGTGAATTTCATCATCATCATCATCATCCATCATCATCATCATCATCATCATCATCATCATCATCATCATCATCATCATCATCATCATCATAAATAATAGTAAAATTCATCTAAGGTCATCTTTGCCTGATGGCGCTGGAACCTTGGCTTTTTCATTTGAATTTGAATTCTTAATTTGGATATGAACTGATAATTTGATTATAGTATGTTATGAATGATGTCAGTACCAAAGGACTGACTACTGAACTGATGATACCATCGAGTACTGACAGTTCACCAATAGTGGTATCGACCTATTGATTGTAAATGAAAAAAGGACACTTTATAAATTTCGTGTGTCCAAAGCGGATTTCTGGATTAGCCTTCGTCAAACCCAAATATTTGAAAGCCATGGACTCGCATGGATTTTTGTTTCATCCAATTATATGAAACCTAATACTACTAAAAAATAAATACCTATTGATTAGAACAAAGCTGTTCAATAACTTTTAGATAC